GGGGAAGAGAGGAAAAAATAAAACAAGACGAAACCAGAGAGGGAGACAAACCGTAAGAGACTCTTAATCATAGGAAACAAACTGAGGTTTGCTGGAGGGGAGGGGAGTGGAGGAATGGGGTAACTGGGTGGTGGACATTAAGGAGGGGCATGTGATCTAATAAGACTGATGAATCACAGGCCTGTACCTCTGAAACCAATAATATTATATGCTAATTGAATTTAAATAAAAAATATTTATAAAAATAAAAAATGTAAAAAAAATAAAATAAATTAAAAAATAAAATAAAACAATTTACAAAACTATTGATCACCAGTGTCTTTAACTCTTAGAAAAGCAAACATGGAACAAATACATATGACTTCATGCAAAGTGCTGTTCACCGATAAAGATACAAAATCATCTGGCTTATAATTCTTTCCTTTAAATAATTGATAAACTTCAAATAGTATTGCAAGCTAAATATATTCTAAATAAGTTACTATAAAACATTTATTATTCAATAATACTTGTAGTTGGCCTTAATGAATATAAGTAAATGGTTTATCTTAACAGGTTTTAAAAATAATACTTTTGTAATAAAAAAAGAAAGTAAAATAACCTTTGGAAATTTAACTTTTTTCTTTTTTTTTAGATCATTTGGTGGCGAGAGTGTGGGGGGTGGGGCAGAGGGAGAGAGAGGGGAAGCAGACTCCCTGCTGAGCGGGGAGCCCAATGTGGTGCTGGATCCCAGGACCCCAAGACCATGACCTGAGCCAAAACCAAGAGTTGGACGCTCAAGCAACTGAGCCACCCAGCCACCCCGACCTTTGGAAATTTAAAAAGACATTTTTCCTAAGCCCTTGATCAAGAGGAAATAAAAAAGTGGAATTATGGGTTATTGAAAAAGTAATACATATGAAAACCTATGGGATGTGGCTGAAGCTATACTCTGAGGCAAATGCATAGTCATAAATACTTTCATTATTAAACATTTTAAAAGGTAAATAAAAATCAAGTGTCCAGGGCTAGAAGTTAGCAGGAAAACCCTATCAAAGCAAGAGAGGAAAAGAAATAGAAAACCCAAAATTAATAAATTAGATAATCCAAAAACCAGTATTAAGTTTTAGAAAAGTACCATCAGGTTTTAATAGGATTAGGTGTAATCTATTTTAAGAAAAAAGGAAGAGATTTGAATAGTAAATCAAGTGGGCAGTCTCAGTTAATTATTTTGATTTTTTTCCTCAGTATTTTCTGAAGTCTTGCAAAACTTACATATATAACTACTGCAATTGATTTGTCAAGTGTTTACTTTCAGTATAAGTCATTCCAATCAAAAACAATACAGCCAGCAAGTATCTTTTAAGCATTAGTCATTTTTTCCTTTGGAAGACATTTATTTTTCTTTGGCCATGAGATGTAAAATATCTTAATGTTTGATATATTGTATTATTACCTTAATATACAAAGGATGTAGAGGGTTTCCATGGTCATATTTTTTCTGTAGGTGTGTGGTACATACTGAAATTTCACTGTGGGAGAGTGCCTTATTATGTTCTACTTCAGTTTTGATTTTAAGTGGGTGTTTTTTCTATTGCTTAATCTGGGAAAATTATTTGCACTCTTCTGGAGATTCTATCCCAGAGGAGTTTAGTGTGCATTTCCTGCTGTTGGGTGCTTCGTAGTAATGTTTGCCCATTTTCCCTGAACCAGTTTAGTACAGCACTCTTTCCAGAACATGTACTCAGTGCATATTTGTTGAATTTATATAGGCTCTCAGTGATCTGAGTGCATTTGTTTAATACGCTCTTTTAAAGAAGGCTTTTATATTTTCATGTTCTGATAAATTCTTGGGTTTTCTAGATTATTCACATCAAAGAAGTTTTATTATTGACATTTGTTTTAATATATGCTAAATTTAAAAGAATGTGAAACTGCTTATGTTCCCCACCCCCCCCAGTACAGGTTTCTGGGATTATTATGATTTTTCATTATTTGGAAAATGCTGAAATAATTTCTGAAAGATAAAGATAATTTTACTATGTAGATAGTTTTTTTTAAGCAAATAGTAGTACAGGAATAGTTAGACTTTGTGTAGTTTAGACTTATTTTATATAAAATTTCTGATTCCAAAAAAATATTGTCAAAAGTAGACTAAAAAATTCAAACTAAGGAATATCATTGTATGAAGTAAGTAGTGTAATTTTTTTTATTACGTTTTGTTGTCCACTATGTAGGACATTTTTCTTTGATTTCTATACTAATATAATTGAAATATTGCCAGAATTTGTTACTTAACATATTGTCTATATGGGCTTTATTATGTGGAATTTTAAAAATAGTTTGGGATTTATCTTTACTTTTTAGGCCTGAGAATAGCAGATGCTTCATTTTAATGTATGATACTGAAGGCCCCAAAGTCACAACAAACAACTTTTAAGACCATAGAGAGTTGTAACTGTAGGAGAAAGTTTGCCAGTCTGTTCCTACTAGTGACATCTTCTGTTTGTGCAGCTGTTGACTACAGCAGCTTCTCTTTTTTGCTAAAAACAAAGGATCACTTCAGTGTTTGTGAGTTTTATTGTTGAACTCTGATATCTATAATTGCACTTAGAATAGAAATCATTACAAACTTTTATATTTAAGGGCATATACTGTGTATATGTACAGATATCAATTATAAATTATGATTTATAATTTATATTATTATAAATATTTATATTTATATTCATGTAGCTAGAGGCTACATGACTCTAGCCTCTGCTCAACCACCCTGAAGGCAAAATTATTTAAATTATGTATGACACTTTTTTGACCATGGGCTGCCTAAGTTCATAAAACTCTTACAAAGTAAAATGAAACTAAGTATAAAAACTTGTTGCAACTTTTGACTTGAGCAAGAATTTGAATTTTTTACCAAGGTAATTTATGAGTTGGTACTATTTGGTGGGGAGGTATTAAGAAACTTACTATCGTAATTTATGAGTTGGTACTATTTGGTGGAGAGGTATTAGGAAACTTTCTATCTTTAAATTATCTTATTTCTTTATAATTATATTAGTATTATTTCTTTTTCATATGGAAATTTGAAATAATCATATTTCTTGCTAATGCCTTCTAATACAGATCTATAAAACTGTTCAGAGAGTTCTCATATGTTCAGAAGGACTTTTTAGATTTTTCAAAGATATCCTAAAAATTACATTTTCAGTGTAGTTAAAATGTGATTTAAATTTTTCCTCTTTTTATGCCTATGCATGAACTATATAAAGCAAGTTTCCATTATCTGTGCATTATTGTTGAAAATCAGCCTTTTCCCCTCATTTCCTCCTGAGGGAACATTTATTAGATTGATAATTTATATCTTACACAAATAATTTTTGAGTTCTGTTGACTATTGCAGTGAAAATTACTGACTTAGACTATTAGCATTTGAAGGAGGTTTTGCCTTCAGGGTTCAAATTCAAGAAACCAGCTTGAGTTCACAGATACTGTATTCATAAATGCAAGTACTGTATTTCATATTCGGTTAATAGTATAAAAGTAGATTTCAAAGTTTAATCAGGTAGGAAGGATATTGAATTAATACTACTATAAATAGTTCAGATTTCTTCTCTCTTCCCACTTTTTTACAAGCATTCTGAGTATTTCCAGTGGACTCTTTTTAGAGAATAATTTATCTGAGTAAAGGCTATCCTATTGAGCATATCAAGTCTTTATAGATTTTGTCTTCAGATTTTCTTGCATTTGTTACTGATTACCTTTGTGAGAAACATGCCTGACATTTATTCTGGGAACTCTGCCTTGCTCAGAGCTTCCGATAAATGCCATCCTACTGGGTTTGTTGGGCAGAAGTTCTAGTTAGGACTATTGCTTTGAGGTAATTGATTTGAATGATTGAAACATTGGATTGCACTTCACTTACTGGTTTCTTAAAGAAGTGTTTAATATCTTTTTAGATTGTGATATTTATGTGGTTTTTAACATTCTACCTTTGAAGAATGTGTCTATAGGTTTTTTCTTTTTATAATTAAATTTAAGAAATTTGTTGTTAAATACAGAAGGAAAACTGCATAAAAGCAATGTATAGCTAAATGAATTATGAGGTGAATGCCTTGTAATTATCGCCCAAGTTAGGATATAGAACGTTGTCAGGCACTCAGAAGCTCTCCAGGTACCTCCTCGTGATCACAACTCTCTTTCACATGAGTAATTTCATATGAGTAATTCCTGTCCTGACTTTTATCCCAGATCTTATTTACTTTTCTTTATAGTTTTGTCACCCACATGTGCATCCTAAAATACTTTAGTTTTTTAAATATGTCTTTTAAATTTCTGTAGATTTTTTTGTAAGAAAAAATACAAAATAAACTAAAATGAGAGTACATACTCTGGATTACTTTAGTTTACTCAAGTTGTCTACTGGGAAACTGAAGTACTCCTTTTTTTCTCCTAGTTTAACTGTGAGCCAAAATTTCTTGCCCTTATGTTAAGTTTTGTTTTTTTTTTTCCATTAATCTTGGACATTTTCCTTCCTTTTAACTAAACCATACTAATCTAATTTCCTGAAATGGATAGAAATAGACTATTTTTTAGACTAGTCAAGCAAATATAAAGTGAGTATCCTTCAGAACTCTGTTTAATGATTTTCCCTCCTAACAAAATTAGTTAAAAGCATTGTTTTGTCTGAAGAGCTAGATTTCTTACTACCAGCTTTATTTTTGGTCTCAAGTCTGACTTCCTTGTACTCTTGATTGTTTTAACAGCTTTGGTTACGTAAGAAATGATTTCATTAAAATGCAATAACTTCTGATAAGCGTTTCCCTGTTTTATTTGATGGCTTTGCCTAAATAATCATATTTAGTTATTTTAATTTGACATTACTGCTCCTTTGGATGTTTTCTCATACTGAGGAGATCTAATTACTATTTGTAAACACCGACTCTTCCATTGTTAAATTGTGAATTTGTATTAAGTTTTTTGTTCCTTTATTAATAATGTGTTTTACTATCTCTTTTAAGAATGTCAAGCTCTCAGCTGAGGTAGAGCCATTTATTCCCCAGAAGAAGAATCCTGATACATTTATGATCCCGATGGCACTCCCAAATGATAATGGAAATGTTTCTGGTGTAGAACCAACTCCAATTCCCAGCTACCTGATTACTTGTTATCCATTTGTGCAGGAAAACCAGTCCAATAGGTAATTTGTTTATTATTATTTTCTCTTTTGTGGGGGGTGAGTCGGAAAATACAGAAATTGACAAGGCATACTTCTTCATTTTTTCCTTTTGTAACTTTTCCTTTTTTTAGGTTTATGTATTATTATTTTTTTGTAATTTCTACAGCCAACATGGGGTTTCAATTTACAAGCTTGAGATTAAGAGTCCCATGCTCCACCAACTGAGCCAGCCAGGCGCCCCTCCATTTGTAACTTTTAAACATTAGCCATTTCCCTTTTTTAAGAGAAATAAATAAAACCAAATGAGGTACTAATTTGAAAATTGTTAACGTGGGTTATTTTCTCATTCTTTCTAAGAGGAAATGGAGTTTTTTGGATGTATCTCCTACAATAAGTCATTAAACTTACTTTGAAATAAATTGATACAAGGGAGGAATGAATATTCAGAAAGTGGTGAACGGAAACCCTTTTAACTTCCAGGATAGTCGGGCATAAGAAGAAAATACCAAGGGATAGTTCTTAACATTGAAGTGTTTATGGTTAACATATATTTCTGGACTCTGATTCTAGTTTAAATTTAGCTTCTGTGCTGTAGTCACAGGGTGATTTAGCAAAATCAGCTTGCAGTTCAGGTAATGTGTGACCTGGTGGTTAGGGTGTAACTTGTGATAATCATGATAGCCTTTTTAACCCTGCTTAGACTATCTGAGTGATTAGTACTTTGTTGGTGTAGTTCACGTTACTGCTTTATTAAAAGTACTTTCAGCCTTTTACAAGTAATACCACACATAGAAAATTATATTTCTCTAGCACTCTGGGACAAATGGATGAGGTAGCTGGACTCTAGCCTCTGCTCAACCACCCCGAAGGCAAAGGCAATCAATATTTCTGCACACCTATAAGCCATCATGTGGCACACTAATGTGCGAAGGCACGTTCTTTCAGATATTCTTGATGTAAGAGAGATGAGGCCACTAAGCTACTGTATGAAATATTAAATATTCAGGTTAATAATCTCTCAAACTCTATAGTTTTGGGGATTGGACAAAGAATAAGGGATCCTTCTCAATTGAGGTTAGCATTATGTCAAACAATTTTGACCTGTATAGGGCTACATTTGAAGCGACTTAAAAACCAAATTTAATACTATTTTTTTGTATTTGACAAAATGGCCAAGTGTAAAGTACAGTCAATTTTTCTTACCATACTAAATAATCTTTGAGAATTCGTGAGTAAACCAGCCCGCGGATTAAAAGTATTTTTTTTTAATTATGGCAGTGAACATTTTTCCATTGTGCTTTGTTATGGGAGTAGTGAGGAAAGCTCGATGCTCCGGCTCCCCATGGCCACTCATTCTTCTGCAGCAGCCTTCTGTAAGGACTGCTGAGACAGGAAGAATCTTGCTGATGCTTTATAGGAAATGCACTAGAAAAGGCTCTAATGCCATGTTAGATAGGATGGCAATGGACAGGCTTACCTCTTTCTCTTCTTTCCCTTGGACCAGGAACCTGCTTCCATTGCCAAGGAGGGGAGCCAGGAAAAGAGCTTGACTTGGCCAAATGGTTCGGGGAGTATGGGAGAGGAGTAGGAGGCCCTGGGACTGAGCTGAAGGAGAGGTGGAGGAATCAAATCACCCATTGTAATGATCACCTTACACAGGGCTCACCTTACCCTGCTTTTTGCAGAAGGCCGTCACAGTTGTTAGCATTGGATGGGAACTTTGGACTGCCTTTGTGGGCAGATCCAGCAGCTAGGTGTTTAACTTCTAGGCAGAAATACCCTGAGGAGGTTGAGGAGAGAGTTGTAAATAAGAATGGTATGTACTTTTAAAATTTTGGAATTCAGTAGAACTATCAGGTTGAATTCTTTTATACTGTCATTTAAGTTATTACATGTATATAATAATCTCTGATTACAGCAAAGAAATTTATAAGGTGATAATTTTATCTCCTTTTTATTATGAAGGCACGGTTCTGTACTTTTTTAAATTAAAATGAATTAAGAGGTTTTGCTTCAGCATTACTTTCAGACTTGTCAATAGATCTGTTCTTTTTTTATTTGATTTTAACAGACAATTTCCGTTATATAACAATGATATACGATGGCAACAGCCCAATCCAAACCCTGCTGGACCATACCTTGCCTACCCCATCATATCTGCTCAGCCACCTGTTTCTACAGAGTATACATATTATCAGCTGATGCCAGCACCATGTGCCCAAGTTATGGGATTCTATCATCCTTTTCCTACACCTTACTCCAACACCTTTCAGGCTGCAAATACCGTAAATACTATAACCACAGAGTGCACTGAGCGTCCAAATCAGCTTGGGCAGGTCTTCCCATTGTCCAGTCATCGAAGCAGAAACAGTAACAGAGGACCAGTTGTACCAAAAGTAAGTGACTTATTTTGATTGGCTTTTATGTTTGATATTTCTGTTGTTAATAATAGTGTAAGTAATTTGCTACTTGTATTGATTAGCCTTGATGCTGAATTTACTGTAAAACATTTCATTCACTATTATAAAATAATCAAGGGTAGAGCATTTATAAAATAATTTTTCCCGTTTTTTATTGTGCCTTATTCTTAATCGATGGTATGATTTACAGTCATATTCAGGTTCCTTCAGAGAGTTTTATTTAATCGTAATACACAAATATTTCCAGATTATTTTAATTTAGTGAAAAAAATTACATAGTGACACCAGTGTTTATAAGTGGTAGTTTGGATCCATGCCAGTGGTGTTGAATGACTAATGCACTTCATATATTTCAGTCTTCAGAAATCAGTAGGAGATATTATGGGGAACAACATCTGTGATTCATTCAATCCCTTCAACTTCATTGTTGCTATTCTGTGAATTTTTAGTAGCAATAGCACTTTGTTACTCATGTATTGCCTTACTATATTATATGAGCACAGGGTCTCCTAGGGCTGAAGAAAATGAAAGATAAATGTGTGAAACCACTCTTAAGACCAGTCTGTTGACTAAGTAAAAAAAAAAAGGAGACATGAAGGCCTTGAAAACACAAGAGATTTAAGGTTTATTCTACGTAACTGTATCTTAACTAAAAGGTTACTTTTATATTGAGGCCTTAATATCAAAGCAAGTAAGAAGAAAAGCCATGTTTCTTCTCAGCACTTTGGAGCTAATGGAGGGTAGAGTGATTTCTTAAATGCATCTATGGCTCTATCATCAAGGAGTTGATGCTTTCCTAGATTCCATTAGCCCAGCTTCTTCAGTGAAAAGTCTTTGCTGTCTTTTGGCATACTTTTTACAAATTAAAATACAAACATGCAGCACAGTTTGCTTTAAAAAGCTATTAGTATTAGTTCATGAAAACACTGGATCAAGGGAAATTGTTTTGGGACCACTGGAGAACGTGAAGAAACAAGTATTGGAAGTAAGGTAGTAGTATATAACTTTCAGGTGGTGAAAAAAAAGGATTTCTCAGAGTGCATTTCCAACACTTCAGTTTAGGAAGTTAAATTCAGAGTTCTGTTGTATAAATCGCTATTTAAGTGATGAATACTTCTGTTTTAAAAAATGAAGGAAAGGATCAGCTTTTTTATATTTTCTTTCCAAGCTCTAAAGCAGAATTGTTTTTGTACTTTCTTGCTATCATGAAAGGAAAATTTATCCCTTGGATAAGCTACTACCCTTTTTGTTACCCTTCTAAATAAAAATTTACAACCCCTTATATGACATGATTATACTTCTGTCATTTATTAATTATTGATTGAGAAAATATGAAGTACAAGTAATAATTTAAAATGAATTAATATTTTATTAGTCATAGTAGTGTTACTAGTTATTTGAAAAGTAGTATCAAAATGTGTGTATATAATACATCATTTAACGTATAATTAAATGCAAATAATGTCATGAATTCCTAACACAGTAGCCCTCTTTCCCCATGGGTTGGAAGCCACTAATTTAGAGCATACATTTAGGTGTGTTTTATAGTAGATATGTATTTAGTACATTGAGTAGGATTTTAAATTATTATTATTATTATTATTATTATTATTATTTGTGCTTAAATCAGCAACAGCTTTTACAACAGCACATAAAAAGCAAAAGGCCACTGGTGAAAAATGTAGCTACTCAGAAAGAGACAAATGCAGCAGGTCCTGATAATCGATCAAAAATTGTGCTTCTGGTAGATGCTTCACAGCAAACTGGTAAGCAAGAGTGTTTATGTATACATCACTGATTTTTATCTGTTTTCATGTATTGACTTTATAATTGTAGACTCTACCACTTTTCAGGATTCTAGACCTTCATTCTTTCATTTATCCTGCCACTTTGTGAAGTTCTCTAGGAAGGATAAAAGCAGTCCATGTCCATAATGTTCTTCCAACTTGTTTGCTGGCTAATGTGCAGTTTTGAGGAGGGTTTGAGGTGTCCTTATCCCCGTATAGTAGTGGAGCAGTTCAGAAATCAGAGGTGGAATATTGCAGACATTGTAAGAATTTGAGGACTCATTTTGGCAGAAATTAAAATTGTATGTTTTTTATAACTAGCTTAAAACCCTTTATAAAATACTCTAATATTGTATAATATCTTTATAGAAAGAACTTGGCAAGTTTTCTGTGCCATATTTTAGCAAAGATCTGAACCAAACCTGTCAGTGGCACCTATATCCTGTCAAGCAAGAAAAATTTTGGACTAGTTGGATATCATTTTGTCCAGAATTTTTTAGAGGACTGTATAAACTTTAAATAAGGAAGCTTTATCCTGGTAATAGATAAAAATTAATATTTTCCAGTTTATATCATTAAATTCCAGTTTGTATCTCTGATCTCAGCTTAATAGCTATAGAGTAAGTAACTGTCTCCTCACCCATTGTCATTGGTGCTAGTAAAAAAATTTTTGTTAATGATCGAAGGCCAAGAATTACATCTGCTCAAACAAAGGCACATTTACTTTTTACCCTTCTGTAGTCTCCACTCTGGCTTGAAATAAATTTGATGGTGCAAACTCTCATTTGGGCTGTACCTTTTCTTTTGTGACATCAGTTCAGTTATTTTTTTACAATTGCTTAGATCCATTAGGAGTAAGAAAGGATCTGGGAATCCGTTAAAAAACAATCTTCTTGCTAGTACAGTCATTGTGTGTAGTTTGTAGCTATAAAGCAGTGAGATTAATGGACTAACAAATGCTTGGAGAGGCTATAGAAAGAATCACAATGTAATATATTACAAAGTTTTCTGTTTTGGTTATTCCTAGTCCTAGTGACTTCTACATGCTTTAAACCCTGGGACTGCTTTTAAAAATCCTTACTTCTTTAGTTTGCTCATTTAGTGACCACAAAGACAATCTTCTGAAGCATAAGAATTAGAAAATGAATAGATGATCCATTAGCAAAACAAAAAGGCAGCCTACTGAATGGGAGAAGATATTCACAAATGATATATCCAATAGGGGTTAATATCTAAAATATTTACTCAATATCAAAAAACCCAGATAATCCAATTTAAATTGGCCAGAGGACCTGAATAGACATTTTTCCAAAGAAGACCTACAAATGGCCAGCAGACACATGAAAAGATGCTCAACATCACTAATCATCAGGGAAATACAAATCAAAACCACAACAGAATAATCACCTTACACCTGTTAGTGTGGCTAGAATCAAAAAGACAAGAAATAACAAGTGTTGTGAGGATGGAGGAGAAAAAAGAACCCTCAGACAGTGGGAATGTAAATTGATGGAGCCACTATGGAAAACAGTATGGGCATTCCTCAAAAAACTAGAAATAGAAATACCAAATGATCCAATAATTCCACTACTAGATGTTTTACCGCCCCCCCCCAAAAAGAAAACACTCATTCGAAAAGATATATTCACTCCTATGTTCATTGCGGCATTATTTACAATAGCCCAGATAAGGAAGCAGTCCAAGTGTCCATAGGTAAATGAATGGAGAATGGATAAGGAAGACATGGTATGTATATACAATGGAATATTACTCAACCATAAAAAAGGATAAAAATCTTGCCATTGGCAACAACATGGATGGATCCAGAAGCTATAATGCTTGGTGAAGTAAGTCAGATGGAGAAAGACAAAAAATGTATGATTTCATTTATATGTGGAATCTAAAAAAAAACAAACCCTGCAGAAATAGACCCATAAATACAGAGAACAAAAACTGATGGTTGTCAGAGGGTTGCGGGTAGCTGATGGTAGCTACACTTGTAAGCAAAGCATAATGTATAGACTCTTTTAGCATTAATGTGTCGTACACTTGAAGCTAATGTAACGTGTGTCAACTATGCTTTAATAGAAGTAAAAAGAAAATGAAAAGTGAAGGTAAAATTTGATTAGAAGATAATACCTTTTATCAGTATTCTTATTCTTTAGTTTGTTTTCAGATTCTGAGGATTGTACATTCTATCAATATTTTTGTTTAATTTGTTTTTAATTTCTGAGGATTAATTGGTATGAGTCGCAGGTAGGATGAAATATTAGAACTTAAAGGAATTTGTAACAAATTTTTATTCTTGAACACAAGCTTGTATTTAATGAGTTTAACAAGATGATTAGATATAATATACAAAAATTAAGTGCATTTCAGTGTGTTACGAACAAAATTTGAGAAAAGATGCCATTTATAATAGCAACAAAAATACAAGTTTCTGGGAATGAACTTTACAAAAGATGTACAAGACATTTATGCAGAAAATCTTAACTTTGTGGTAGGATATTAAAAAAAAACCAACCTAAATATCCTGTTCATATAGGATGATTTGATACTGCAAATGTCATTTTCCCCAAAGTCAGTCTGTAGATTCAGTGCAGTTCTAATCAAAATTTTAACAGGAATTTTATGGGAACTTGATAAACTAATTCTGAAAGGACCATTTGAGAAGAAAAGAGCTTTTTTTCTAAATATCAAGACCTATTAAACTATCTGACTTCCTTAGGCTTTTACAAAAAATGCAGTATATGAAAATTAGAACAGGGGACCCAGAAACAGATTCATATGTATGTGGAAACACATGTGGAAAATAACACAGATAGCATTACAGATCCCTAATTTACAACCCATGCATTAAGGACAAATGGGAAAACCCGTTTGTTGAAGAAAATATAGGCAGATATCTTTATGACGGCAGGGAGGAAACTATTTCTGAAGTAAATTCTGTCTATCAAAAGTGAGTGGCAGAATGAGCCAGAAACTTGGAAAAGATTTTTACTATGCCTATCACTGAAAAAGTTTTAATATGAAGACATAAAAAATTCATATGAAGAATAAAAAAAATGATCCCACCTTGTTCTCAGGCTCTGGGACACACCAGTGGGCTGAAACAGTTTGGCAGGACTATAGGAATCTTTCCTTTGATCCAGTTGTCCTTCCCCTGTGAATGTATCTAAAATGGATATATTTCCCTAGAAAGAAAAAGGACTATTTGATGAAAGATCTGAATTGCAGTATCACACTGAAGCTTCCTAATGTTTAGTAACAGGTGACAAGTCAAGAAAAGTGTAGAACATCCACTCAGTGGAATAATATGGAGCCTCTCACATTATAATTATGGAGAACATATACATAATATTAAATAGCCCGGGGTGCCTGGGTGGCTCAGTCATTAAACGTCTGCCTTCAGCTCAGGTCATGATCCCGGGGTCCTGGGATCGAGCCCCGCGTCGGGTTCCCTGCTCAGCAGGGAGCCTGCTTCTCCCTCTCCAGCTCCCCCTGCTTGTGTTCCCTCTCTCGCTGTCTCTCTCTGTCAAATAAATAAATAAAATCTTAAAAAAAAAAAATAGCCCAACTCAAAATTGTATTAATGCTGTGTAAAAATTATGGGCGGAAATACAGAAAAAGGAAAATTGTTATTTGTTAGGGTAGGAGGACATTATAAGAGTTTTTTTTAATGTCTTTTGATTACAATTTGTGAAATACAAAAATAAGAGACAACTCAGTAGAAAAACATTAGTGGCTAAAACCATCAGAAAAGATACCAAACCTCATCATTAGGCAAGAAAATACAAATTAAAACCCACAATGAGCTATCTTTTTATATCTAACAATTGGCAAAAATTATAGCCTAGCAGACAGTATCAAGTATTTGGTGAATATGTGGATCACTGTGGATATTTATATCTTGCTGTTGGTTTATAAACTGTTTTAAACAGTTTGACTGAAAATGATTTGACATTACCGAGTAAAGTCGAATATGTGTATGCCATAAGGCCCAGCAGTATTTATCTTAAAGAAACTTCCACATGCACACATATATGTTCAAATGTCTGTGTAAGAGTGGTTACAGCAGTATTATTTAATAATGCAAAACCCCAAAACAGTCCAAGCACCCCATTAGTGGTACAAAGGATAAATACTGTGTGGTATGTTCATCATACACAGGCATTCTAGATTCCAGTGACATTAATGAATTACAGCCACATGCATCAGAATCTCAAAACTAATGTTGGAGGAATGGGGCAGACTAGGAAGCAAGTCACAAAAGAAAATGGACAGTATAAATTCATTTTTATAAAGCAAAAACTGCAAAATTACATGATTTATGTTTTAGGAATACAAAAATCCATGAAAAAGCTATTTTAAAGAGTGAGGAAATGATAAACACAGAATTCCATATGGAGGTAACTTCTGGGGGAGGAAGAGGATGCAGTGGTGAATGGGGTATGCAGTGGACTTCAAAAGGATTAGTGATGTTATTTTTCTTAAATGGGTAATGGTGGTTTGTTTTAATATTTATACAAATATTTTATCCTCTTGTCATAATAAATACATGTCATAAACCAACTTGCTAGGAACATCTTACTTTTTGATGATCTTCTCCAAAAAATTTTTACTTGTTTTCTCCATTTACGAAGTTAGATACCTTCATTTTCTTACGACCTTAATGATAATTTAACAAGAATTTATCAGTTTGGTCCTCACAAAGAGATGTCACACCTTCCTTGCTTTACAGATTTCCCATCAGATATTGCTAACAAATCTCTCTCGGAGAGCTCTGCCACAATGCTCTGGAAGTCCAAAGGCAGGAGGAGAAGAGCGTCCCACCCTACTGCTGAATCCTCTAGTGAGCAGGGGGCTAGTGAAGCCGACATTGACAGTGATAGTGGCTACTGCAGTCCCAAACACAGCAACAACCAGCCTGCAGCAGGGGCTTTGAGAAATCCCGATTCTAGCACCATGAATGTATGTAACGCTGCTTTGATTTCTTTATCGGTCATCTGTGTCAGTATTATTTTGTATCTTCTCTAAAGCTCAAGTATCTATTTTCATTAACAATTCCTATAGTAATAGAATGGATCAAAATGTATTTTGTATATTAATATGAAAAATATATATGGAGAAGTATTTTTCTAGGATTGTAAATAAGTATGCTTCACACTAGACTAAGTTATGAAACATTTGCAAGGCATATGGTGTTGACTCTTAAGCAGAAAATAATTGTCTTTTTTGTTTTTATTTTTAGCATGTGGAATCATCTATATGTACAGGTACTTATTTTCTGCATAGTGTTTTTGCTATACTTTCTTCTTTGTCCATGTCAGAGTTTTGCTTTTAAGCATGAAGCTTGCTGATACTGCAAAAAAAATCAGAAATCTTCCAAGAGATTCACATTACTTTGAAAGTACAGTTGGGCTGATAAAACTTAGAAAATTTCTCAAATGAGAAATTGGAGTATTCTGCAAGATGGCACTTCTATTGCTAAGAACTGGAATACCACTTAAAGTCTGTAGAGAAATTTCCAGTTTTACGTGTATAGTGACTGACTTTCAATACACAAAGTTAAGGGATAATTTAGGTTTTGGCATCTTTCATAAATAAATCATATTTTTAAATCTCACTGGTTACAGGTAGTGTAAATTGGTCCAATGTAACTTGCCAGGCAACTCAGAAAAAACCTTGGATGGAAAAAAATCAGACGTTTTCTAGAGGTGGAAGGCAGACTGAACAAAGAAATAATTCACAGGTAACTTGAATTAGGTTGGAGAAACTTGAATTATTGTAAATGGTATAGTGGTCTTGAAGGGCAGTGTCCTTAATTTTTAGAGATGCATATTGAATTATATCATCATAAAATATCATGATATCTGTAACCTTAAAATGGCTTAGCCAGTAAAATTATTATTTAATGAAAAAAATGGCAAAATCTTGACTATAGGTGATGTGTATATTGTGCCATTATAGGTATGTGTATGTTGTGCTATTTTCTACTTTATTGTATTTAAGAAATAGATTTGGATATTTCATACTTTTAAAAAAGAATATCCTCCAATCCTGTTTCATCTGCTGTGACTTTTTCTTATCCATATAAAAAATTTAAAAGCATTTTAATGCCATAAATATTGATTCTTTGAACTTTAGGACTGCGGCCTTGTTCGTGTGTCTTTACTAGACCATAAACACCACAAGCTACGCACTCTGTGCTTGTTGCAGGGCCATAGCGATTGCTGCCTCATGCTGTAACGTAGCCAGACTAGACAGCTTCCTGGTCTTGGGGAACAATATCTAGCTGCCGTACAGCAGAGCAGGTTAACATACTGCCATGGATTCCCAGTAACTGTCTTCCTGCGTTGGTCATCTGTGAAATCAGGGAGTCGTTTGTTGATGAGCATTTTTCCTTTTTAGTTTTTAGATGGACTTCCTGGATTCCTTAAATCTAGTTAAGGTATTAAAAGTATCATATGGGGGCGCATGGGTGGCTCAGTTGTTAAGCGGCTGCCTTCGGCTCAGGTCATGATCCCGGGGTCCTGGGATCGAGCCCCGCGTAAGGTTCCCTGCTCAGTGGGGAGCCTGCTTCTCCCTCTCCCACTCCCCTTGCTTGTGTTCCCTCTCTTCGCTGTGTCTCTCCCTGTCAAATAAATAATAAATAAATAATAAATTTATTTTACCCCCCCAAAAAAGTATCATATGAATAGATCTGTGGATGAGCTGAAATAAGAGTAAGTTACTAATGGATTAAATAGACCAAATACTCGCCTGCTCATTTGCTTCCCTGAAATGAAGTACGTTAGATGCACCCTAACATTAATTAGACTGTCAGGAGAACAAGCAGAATAATGCCCTTTCCCCTATGGTTATTGCAAAAATGAGTCGTTGTTTGTGGCAGGCATGTGAGGCAGTCTAGCTTTATTTGATAGAAACAAAAGAGCTAAAACAAGAATTGTTTGTATAGATGAGATAAACAAAATCTACAAAATGTTTAAGTGCTGAAATTTTATGTTGAAATCATAACTTGTTAGACTTTTGGTATCCGTAGTCCACTGGAGAGGAAGTAATACAGCTAGCTATTGAGCCTCCAAACTGGTGAGGAATAGTAAAAGAACAACCAAAAATTATGCAAATACATGTAGTATATTAGGTTTTGTTTATTTTGTATCTCTCTTCATTCCAAAAGAACTGGAGCCAGATGTTGAACAATGTGTTTTCTACTTTTGGTGTGTTGTTATACTTACTCTTAAGTATGTGTTTGATTTGTGATGTGCAGAATCTTTTTTTTTTCCTGTTAAGTCAAATTTACCCTTTGCAATTTCTGATTGTTTTTAGGCTTAAAAAGTATTTTAGAAATGAAATAAATATTCACTTGTATTTTCCACTACCTTTTTTTTTTTTAAAGATTTTATGTATTTATTTGAGAGAGAGATGGGGAGAGAGAGAATGAGTGGGGTGAGGGGCAGAGGGAGAGGGAGAAGCAGGTTATCCGCTCAGCAGGGAGCCCGATTTTTGACTTTGCTCATTATTATTGCCATATATCAGTGCATGTTTTAAATAGCATTAAGAAGTTTATAAGTTGAATTTATTGTTTTTTGTTTTTGTTTTTTAAAGTGGCTTCTGGGTTTTAAATCATAGGAAAGCCCTGTCCTTACTCTAGAGTTATAAAGGATTTGCCTGTTTTCCACTAGGGTGTTTATGTTCTTGTTTTTTACATTTAATCTTTATTCCATTTGGGTTTGTCTTATGCATGGTGTGAGATACAGTTCCACTTCGTATTTTCCAAGTGGGTACCCAAATCTCCAGCACCATTTATTGAAAAGTCCATCTTTTCACTGATTTGATATTAACCACCTTCATCATCTATTAAATTCCCAGATATATTGAAATCTATTTTTGGAATTTCTCTTTTGTTCTGTATTAGTCATTAAATTAATCTATCAGTTTAGGGAGGATGGATTACCTTTGTGATGTGGCATCTTTCTATGTAAAAAACTGTATGTCTTCCTATTTTTGAGTCATCTTTTTAGGACATAATTGAAATACATGCAAATTTGGTTCTCATGAACTTTGTTGGGACCATTAGTTTGGGGGTTTTAATTTAATCCTGGAGCTTTATGTCTCCCAAGTATAAGAAATCAAGTTCCATTTGTTCTTTTTAATTGTATTAGTGTTTGTAGCAACATTAATGTATGTATAGTAAATGATTTACAACAGGGGTTTTTTAAGATATAATTTGGAGAGCAGGTTTGCATTTACTTTTTTGTCATAGTGACTGTCCACAGAAATGAAGAGGTATGCTCAGGAATTATTCTCTTGCTTTTTGGTCATCCCTGTTTTGGGGCTTGTACTCATTTTAGTATTAATAATTTATGTGAATTAAGTTGTTTTTTTTAATTTACCTAGACATTATAAATTGCATTTGGTTTACCAGTCTTGTATGAGCTTCTTTTCATGAGCCAGTTTTTAAAATATTTTACAAAAATTGCTAAATAGTGAAGTTGAAGTAATTTTACAGAGAGCATTCATATAGCTACCAGTTAGATGCTAGCTAACATTTTACTGAGATTTGTTTCATCATGTGTGTATTCCTCTGTCCATATCACTATCCATGTTTTTGAGCCTATTTTAAAATGAAGTAAATATTTAAAATTAAGAAACTGTTGGGTATCTGGAAAGTTATCTAGTTATAGGAAGTAGCCCAGTTGTCACAGTGCATATTCTAAGGAAGAATTACATTTGGTGTATGACCATCTTCTCTGGCTTATTGTTCTGCCATGCAGCCTACCTCCCAAAAGAGTATAAAAATTCTATTTCTTAAAAAAAAAAAAATCCTATTTCTTATCAGCAAGTCATTTTAGATCAGTTAGTTAGTACGGGAATTGGTAGGTGGTTCCATGTCTTTGTGTGCATAATTTTGATTTCATCATCCAAAGCCTGTGTATCAGCACCTTCTGTTGTAGATCTACTTCAGGTTCTGTTTACTGTTAGAATTTGGTGGTAACTGGTAATGAAGATCATACTTTTCACATCTTCTCGGTGTCCTGGTTAAGAGAGGTGTTTCATGTTAGCTGCATTGGGTATTTAAGAGGAGGATCTTGAAATGTCTCAAGAATCTTGCCCTTATGACAGTCGAACATTTTACAGATTTGTTAATGGGATAATAATTTACAGATTGGATGAAAATTTTGTTCTAAATCTACTTTCTTGGAAATAAGAGTTTTAATTTTTTACCTTTCTTAGGAATTTTTTTTTTTTTTTTAAATAAAACCACAGATGTTAGAAGACATAATAGTTTAATAAAAAGGTAGGGTGCAGTTTCTCCCAGTGATAACATCTTGCAAAACTGCAGCCCAGTGTCACAACCTAGATACTGACATTGATACAATCAAGATAAGAACAGATCCATCACTGCAGGGATCCCTCATGTTTCCTTTTTATAGCCACATTCCTTTCCTTTCCTGCCCAGCCTCTTGTTAACCCAGAATCCACTGATCTGTTCCCCCCTTTATATAATTTGTCATTTCAAGAATGTTTTATACATGAACTCATACAGTCCTTTTAGGCTTGGCTTTCTCACTTTCATGGTTCTCTGGGGATTTGTCCAGATTATCGAATACATCAGTAGTTTGTTCCATTGGGTGGCTGACTATTGTTCTGTAGTAGGGATGTACTGCAGTAAGTTTAACTGTTCTCCCAATCAAGGACATCTGGGTTGTTTCCAGTTTTTGGCTATTACGAGTAAAGCTGGTTAAACATTCATGTATGAGGTGGGGGAAGGAGGGAAGTAACTTGCATTATCACATTTTTAATTTTCCTTAAAATGATCTTACTTGTCAAATGCTCTTTAACCTTTTATAATAAATTATACACTTTATGAAAATTCATTGAGTTTTATACTTTTGTGTATTTTTCTGTAAGTATATGTCAGTAAAATGTTCACTTAAATAATATATTTTTTTCTTTTGGTGCTTACTTAGGTTGGATTCAGATGCCGAGGACATAGTACTTCTTCAGAAAGAAGACAGAATTTGCAAAAGAGACAAGATAATAAGCAATTAAATGCCAGTCAGTCTCATAGAGGCGACTCAAATTCTGAGTCTTTATATTTTGAGGTATTTTTTCAGATTCTATTTGTAAACTATTAGAGTAAATGTCCCATTAAGAAATTCATTTTCTTACATTCTGATAAGTACTTTTTATGTCTTAACCTGTGACTCTGCTATTAGATTATAAATTATTTAGAAGTATTGATTCATTTTTCTCCTGGATATGTATAGTTAGTCTAATATTAACTTCATTAATGTCTATTTTTATAACTTCCGTCATGAGTATTCATTTTGAGGTAACATGGAGAGGTAGAACTTGATTTTATGTGGGTTTCTCCTACTATGAAACTTTCTCCCTAATTTTTGTTATTCTTTAGTCTCTTTGTCAAGTTTTTTAGGTTTGAATGGTTCAGTCTAGGTAATTTGTGCTGCTAGCCAGGAGAATCTTGGAGAAGAAAAAAGATATTTTATTTTTTCTAATAGGCAGAAAGTGTGTATACTGCTTGGAATATTTTTATTTATTCATCTAACTGGCTCCTTTTTTTTTTTGGAGGCCTGTTATATGTGTAAGATAAGGTGCTGTGAATGATTCATTAAGTGAGTAAACACAGTAGCCTTAGGGAAGTTGCGGTATAGTAATGTAGATGCATACACACCTAGTACTTGCTTGGGTGTGGTTGGAGTTGAAAGGAGGGACAAGTCCCTTTGGGTTTGGAGTAGGGTAGAGGCAATCTTTGGAAAAGACTTTAAAGAATGAGTAGAATTTGGTTGTGTCAAGATAGTGAACATCCCAGGTAACTCATTTGAATAATTCTTTTTTGTTGGAGCATAGTTTCTATAAAATGGGTCAATAGATGGCAATTAAACTGGAAAATGTGCTTGAGGCCAGAGACTAGAGATGAATAATATGTTAGATAAGTTTAGTAATTGACCTAAAGGAATTCAGAGTGCATCTCTATTAAATTATTGAGAACATGTGGCAGATTTATTATTTGCACTTAACCATATAATTGGTTCCATCCGTATACTTAAAGATATTAGATATAATTTTCACTATAAAGGAGGATATTAGTTAATAAATTGAATAGGATTTTCTTTTAAATTTTTAAACTTTTAACCTTATTTACAGGTATGTGTAGTATTGCAGGACAGGGAATATATTTATGAAATTCATATTAAACCATCTGTTGAAAATATTTTCCAGATTATCTGAAATACGATAAAAACCCTGTTGTATTTCTTTTCAATTACCTATCCATTTTTAAAATAGAATTAATTAATTAAAATGGACACAAATCCAAAAAATGGACATGTATAGATATGCCACCATTGTTGAATAATGAAATTAACTATGTTGTAGCATGTGAGAAATGAGATTTCCTTTTTAAGACTGACTTTAGTTTGGGGCGCCTGGGTGGCTCAGTCATTAAGCGTCTGCCTTCGGCTCAGGTCATGATTCCAGGATCCTGGGATCGAGCCCTGCATCGGGCTCCCTGCTCAGTGGGAAGCCTGCTTCTCCCTCTCCCACTCCCCCTGCTTGTGTTCCCTCTCTCTCGCTGTGTCTCTCTCTGTCAAATAAATAAATAAAATCTTAAAAAAAAAAAAAAAGACTGACTTTAGTTTAATATTAGAATTTTAAAAATTATTTCCCCATTTTTCATTACTCTTAAGCATTATAAAACATTTTTCTGAAGAGTTTATTGCTTTGAACTGTTTTCACTTAAAATGTGAAATTATTTCAGGATGAAGATGGATTTCAAGAACTAAATGAGAATGGAAATGCTAAAGATGAGACTATTCAACAGAAACTTTCTTCAAAAGTAGTAAGTGACTCTTTTTAAAAAGATAAGCAAAATATTTGAACATCCTTTGAACTGTGGCTATGTTGAAAAGAAGTATTACAGGTTAGCATAAAGACATGTGGGGCACCATGGTAGAGAAGAAAACCATGTATTTGGTACTTAATATTTATTTGCAACATAACCAGAGCAAAGACACTTTCCTATAAAATCCATAGTTCTGGGCGCCTGGGTGGCTCAGTTGGTTAAGCGACTGCCTTCGGCTCAGGTCATGATCCTGGAGTCCCAGGATCGAGTCCCGCATCGGGCTTCCTGCTCAGCTTCTCCCTCTGACCCTCCCCCCTCTCATGCTCTCTCTCTATCTCATTCTCTCTCTCAAATAAATAAATAAAATCTTTAAAAAAAAATTTAAAAAATTAAAAAATTTAAAAAAAATAAAATAAAATCCATAGTTCTGTTACAGACGAGAAAACACCATTAATTAAAGGATATCATATAGCATACAGTCCATTTCCCGTTGTTGCAAAACTTTACTTGGGAGTTATTTTGTTTTGAGGCCAAGATCCAGACAAGTGTCACCAATTGCATTAAGCTGTTTGTCTCTATTTCCCAGGCTGGAAGGATCCCACCATCTCACTCTGTTCTTTATGACATTGAATCCTCAAAGATTCCAGTCCAGATACACTGTAAAACATCCCAAATTCTGGATTGTCTTTCCTTATGGTTAGACCTTTATGGAATCACTAACAAATGTTTTTGTCTGGTTATCCTAGTTGGATGATTTACCTGAAAACTCACCAATCAATATAGTTCAGACTCCAATTCCCATTACCACCTCAGTTCCTAAACGTGCAAAAAGTCAGAAGAAGAAAGCTTTAGCAGCGGCCCTTGCCACAGCTCAAGAATATTCAGAAATAAGTATGGAGCAAAAAAAACTACAGGTATTTATTCATTTTTATGAACAGATGTAATTGGTAGGTTTGGGGGGGATGGACAGAAGGAGTGACAAATAAAATCATCATAAATTGCTACACTTTAATACTATCACAAAAAATAAACGTTCCATTTACCTTGCAGGAAGCTTTATCAAAGGCAGCTGGAAAAAAAAATAAAACCCCTGTGCAGCTAGATTTGGGGGATATGTTAGCAGCTCTGGAAAAACAACAACAAGCGATGAAAGCACGGCAGATTACTAATACCAGACCTCTGGCATATACAGGTGATCTTACTATCTGAGCAATTCGCTGTTTGGTTTTGGTAATAGTTTTTGAATATTGTTAATCTTAATTGCATCTATCTAGAAAATCCAGAGTCTACTCACCAGCTCCTCTCCTGTTACCCTTGTAGCTCGCATCCTTGTACTACACTGTGGTAGCCCACTGTTACCTACTGCGGGCTATCTTAAAAGGAGTATCTTTTAAAAATACAAACAGGATTATATCACTCCACTGCTCCAAACCCTCTAGTAGCTCTTGATCTCACTTGGAGTAAAGCCAGATTCCTAAGGCCAGATCTTAGCTGATCCTATGACCTTTTTGCCCCCATCACCATTCTCTCTGACGCACACTGCTATAGTCAGTCAGCCCCCTCACTATTCCACAGACACAGCAAGCATGCTCCTAGCTCAGTATCTTTGTGCTTGCTATGTCTTTTCCCTGAAACTCTCTTTCCTCATATACTGGTATGGTTTGTTCTCGTACGTCCTTTAGGTTTCTGTTCACATGTCAGTTGGTGTACATTGTGAAGCAGCTAATGTTTTTCTTCTTCAGAGGTTGAAATAAGAATCACAAGTAATTTGGCTTTATAACTTTAAAATTGGATAATAGGAAACATAGGAGTTTTGATCAAGAGGTGTGTGCACGTGTGTGTGTGTGTGTGAGAGAGAGAGAGAGAGAGAGAAAATGAATGATTCGGCTTTCTACTGAAATGTTAATGTATATTTTAGTAAACCTTGTCAAATTTAGAGTTCAGCAGCTCTTATGTGCTCCCTCATTTCTTTCCATAGCCTTTGTTGTAGAGGGAGAGGAATAATATAAAGGAAAGGGAAGGGCACCAACAAAAAGCCCAGTGTTAAAAGGGAGAATTGGAATATTCTATTTCTTCTGTTTCTATGTAAAGGGTCTGTTGTTTTTAGACAAAAAGATAATTAGCAGTGTATAACTTTAATTCTGTCTGCAAAATGTTTAAATCTATAGCTAGTTACTTGTCCAGTATAAACCTTAGCTTTACTATTAGTAAAAATAATATTGAATGCATACTAAGCTTTTGAGTTGAATGTTGTTGAGTTGGGTTAGAGTGGCAGTTACATCTCAGTGGAACTGAGAGTTAGCAGTGTTCTGGAGGCAGTATGGCTTCATGGCGACAAGCAGGAGCTTTGGAGTTGAGCTGCCTTGGTTTGAATCCTGTTCTTCCATGTAGTTCCTTGGCAACTTATTTAACTTTGCTGTGCTTCAATTTCCTGACATTAAGGTGGAGGTAATGATAGTACCTGCTACAGGGTTATTTTGAGGAGTCAATGAGATGATGCATGTAACCTGGTTAGAAGATTATAGTCACTCAATAAATGTTAACTGATTACTATGGAGAAGAGATTGTTAACCTGTGATACTTCAAATGGCTTCATTGTTATAACTTTGATTCACTGACTACATGTTGATATATACAATTATAGATATCTATATGGAAAGCATGTTGTGGAATTATAGATTAAGATATTCCTGTGGTCAAAGGCTTATAATCCAGTTGAGGGGAAAGACATACACAAATAACTAATAAAGACCTGTGCCTTAGGAAAGATACCAGCCAAGGTTTTATGAACTTGGAGAAGAAAAGAGTGATTAATGTCAACAGGGAGATTATGGGGAAGACGTTACAAATGCCTTCATGTATGATAACATTTGGACTGGGCTTTGAAAGGAGAGTAGGATTCTTATCAGATGGAAATGAGATTAACCTCTAAACTGCCACCAGTGTTTAAGTTGGAAAGCATTGATTACAAAGAAATTGAATTTCTTGGGAAGTCCAAGAAAAGAATGAGACTATTGTAGATATGTGAAAGGATTGTGAGGAATTGATGGGGTGGTTGTTGTTGTTGTTGTTTTTATTTAACTGATGGAATGTGGAAACAGGTCAAAGGTGACTCTATGACTCCAAACTCTCCTAGTTAGAGGATTGTGGTGATTTTGATGATATCAAACAAGGATTATGAAAGAAGAGTTTTGTTGGGAAGAACAGACTCCAGCCCTGTTGTATTTGAAATGCTAGTTAGGGAGATTCTGGTGGTTCCTACTTAACATGTAGTTATGTATGTACATTTTAGGTTAGAAGTCAGTGAGTTTTGTTTTGTTTTTTAAGATTTTTTTTTTTAATTTATTCATTTGAGACAGAGAGAGAGTGCATGAGCAGGGGAGAGAGACAGAGGGAGAGGGAGAAGCAGACTCCCAACTGAGCAAGGAGCCCGACGTGGGGCTCGATCCCAGGACCCTGGGATCATGACCTGAGCCAAAGGCAGATGCTCAACCGACTGAGCCACCCAGGCGCCCCGAAGTCAGTGAGTTTTAAATAGAGTTGGATGTATAGCTGTGGAAATACATAAGGTTGTCAGGGGAAAGAAAAGTTAGGAAAAATATATTCAGGGATAAAGCCTTGTCGAATGTTCAGACTTAAAGGACAGCAAGAGGAAGAACTAAAAAAATAGGTTTGAGAAAGAGTAAGAAAAATAGGAGAGTGTAATGTCATACAAGGTAAGGACAGAATTTTGAGGAAGAGGATGTGGTCTTTCTTATCAAATGCTGAAAAAAACTAGAATAGAGAATTAGATTTAGCGATTACAAGTTCATGTGTGATCTTGACAATAGTGGTTGTGAGTGCGTGGGTAGGGCAGAGGCCAGATTGTAATGATCTGGGACGTAATAATGAGAAAACAGATTATTTCAGGACCTCTGGGGAAGATGGCGGGGTAGGAGGATCCTAGGCTTACCTTGTTGCTTGGACACAGCTAGATAGCATCCACATCAGTATAAATAACCGATAAAGCAGACTATTGAGAAGGAAAGGGGAGTGATAGTACCTTAGCTTGAGGGGAAGCCAGTCAGGGAAAGGGTTTTGTTGGGTTGTCTGTTTTTTGGGTTTTTTGTTTTTCTTTCTTCTATATACAGGAGATTTTTAGCTTCTTATTGGGAGTTAGGGAAAAGAATCAGGGGTCAAGGAGGACCTTGAAAGATGCAAGGGGAAAGGGACAGAGCAAGATGCTTGAGGAATTAATCCGGAGATGGGATTAAGAGGAGAGGGGGTGATAAGCCTTGGACAGGAATTAGGATGCCTACTGCCTCCTCTCAGGTGGCTTATATGTTTATATTGGATAGCAGCTCTCAGGGAAGTAGCAGGAAAGCTTTTTTGCTGCTAGAGTGAGAGAATTGAGATTAGTCTTTGGACCTGTTAAAGGATTGGGGTAGCCACTAGAGGGTGAGGGTATCAATCAGGTATAAAAGAACTACTAAGAGTGCAGCCAAAGAGGAAAATCATTCTTCACTGGCAGGCTGGAATGAGGGGAGGAGTGACAGACTGTGTTTTATGTAAGGGTGATTCTTATGTAAGATTCAGTAGGAATTAAGGACAGGTGCAAAATTTTGAAATTTCAGAGGTTGAGTGGTTCTGCTTGGAGACCAGTTGCAAGGAATTGCATGCTTGAGGGTTGCTGTGGTGGAGTAGAACTAATAATTTATTTGTCCCTGCTTTGGATTGCTAAATTAGTTAATTGCATTTGGCTTTGTCATCTTTATCTTATGGAGGCTAAATGGATGCATAAAAGCTGTATCTGATAAACACTGCATGGCCCTGTACTACTCCTACTATTACGATGTCTGTTTTTCCCCACAAGAAGAGGATGTTCTTGTAGGTTTATCATTGGAAATTTTCATATATGTGGTGTTGGTAATAATAGTAAAACTAATATTCTTGTTTGTTTTTAGTGGTTACTGCAGCTTCTTTTCACACTAAAGACTCTACTAACAGAAAACCTTTAACCAGAAGTCAGCCCTGTTTGACATCCTTTAGTTCTTTGGACATTACTTCCTCTAAAGCAAAGAAAGGAAAAGAGAAGGAAATTGCAAAACTAAAACGGCCCACAGCACTTAAAAAGGTAAACCAACATCTGGGGATGTTTATCTTACAAGGTAAATAAGGATTTAAATCTGTTTTGCAAAAGTAGTTGTGTTTGAGCCAACAGATTATTATGAGATAGTCATAGGCGTATATCTTTATGATGACTAGTTAATTGGAGATTGGGGATATCATCAGCATCACAATTCTCTTTCTGTATTGAACAAGGCCCTGGACGATGAATTTCTGTAAGGTTAAAAAAAAAAAAAAAAAAGTTAAACATTTAGCATCCAAAAAATTGGACCGTAGGAATCAGAAGCCCTGGATTCTGGTACTAAATTATATAGTTTTAGGCAAACCTTTCTTACCCTTATCTTCTTCATCTGTAAGTCGGGATAATATCTGCTCTATTTAATTTAGTATTGTTAGGAGCAGAGTGAGATAATCCATGTCCAAATAATTAAAAACTATAAAATGTAAATCTATTGTAACTGTATGACCTGGTTTTCACACTTTTTATTTTATCCATTTTTGTGGAAACTCTCTAGTTTGTCAATCAGGATTTAAAGAGGGAAACAGATGTGGTTTGATATCTGTAGCATTATTAGCATATTTGCCTTCCTTTATTTTGGATATAGTACTTCTTTCAACTACAGTGTCTAAAATTACATTTACTTTTTTGCCAGTCAGTTTCATTGTAGCCAGCTAAACATGTAGCCAACCAAACTCCTCATGTCCATTTGTAAGTGAACTATATCTGTGTAATAGTGAACGTTTTCATCATTCAGTACATCAAAGAGTGATCAGTAATTAAAGACCGGTAATGACTTTTAGGTTATTTTGAAAGAAAGAGAGGAAAAGAAGGGCCGTTTAACTGTGGACCACAACCTTTTGGGATCTGAGGAACCAGTAGAAATGCACTTAGATTTTATTGATGATTTGCCACAGGAGACTGTTTCCCAAGAAGGTAAGATCACTCCTTTCTCCCTTATCATGGAATGGTCCAGAGTATTTTAATTGATAAGCCATCACTAGTTATTATCCTAATTGCAGGGTATGCTCCATATTTTATCTACATTTCTTTATTTTTGAGAGTGGTTTCTTTTGAAGATGCTTTTGTAGGGAGATATTTAAAAGGGGGAAGGAGCAGGTGTTATATAGCAGGTTTGTGACATTTTTGAGGCTTAAGGCCTGGATTTGTTGTAAATACTAATAATTATGGTCTCATCATGCATCCTCTATAACTCATAGTTCTTTTCATTTTGTCTTCTTTTGTATTTAGAATACTACTGGCTATTTTCTTCACAGGACTATTTTTCAATGGATTGCTTTTGTTGATTTTCTTTCTTGCTTTCATGAATTAATACATATACCACAGTGAGTGAGTAGAGAATTACAAAGCCTCTTGTAGTGCAGAATTCATTTGGTCAATAAGCTTCAGTCCCATACGATTTTAGGTAGGACCTCAAGCAAACCTGCACATTCCTTCTGATATTTTTACTACTGTGGAAGAGAGATTTTAAGAGATACCTGCTAGGTCCCTTTTTCTGCTGATATATGTGTATTCCGTTCTGCAACACATTTAAGTCTGTTTTACACATATTAACTGGCACTGTTCCATTGTGTTTAGAAAAGAGTTTGTTTCTAAAGATTGTTCAGTTAGGACATACTTAGTTGGGATTCCCCTTTACTCTCAATTAAATATCCTTTCCTTTGTATTTAGGTTTATCCATTCATTCAAAAATGGATAAATTTCAGTATTCATTTAGGTGTTTATTGAACACCTATCATGTGTACTTTAGTAACTGGTTTGGGGGTGGGAAAGTCAGGAAATGTAACTGGGTTGGGGGTGGGAAGGTCAGGAAATGTAATAAATGTAATAAAGATAAAAAGTGGATTGGTCCTGCTACAAAAAGCTTATCACGGTAGGGAGACAAGAAGATACATGTGTAACTTTGCTAATTAGTGGACTGGAATACAAATAATAACTCATTTCCTGAGTTTAGCCATTTAGGAAAGAAGCAGCAAATGAAGGAAGTAATCCGGTCAAGAGATGGTATCTAAAAAATGAGGCTGCCTGAGCACAGAAGCAAAGACCAAATAAGAGAGAAACTGCGGTGGTGTCTGAAGAAATCAGGAGGGGTGTGGAGAGAATGAGTGAGGTAGAATTCATCATTGCCAGCAGCAATGGGAATTTTTAGACAGTTAAAAGTGAAAAAATAGAGATAAAGGAGATGGATGATATGATCTGGAAAGAGGTTCAGAAGTTACTACCTTTGTTCTTCAATTTAAATCCTCTAGAATACGTGTTTTATATCGTCCCTTGTGTAGAGACTTATAGACTGTGCTTTTTTAAGAGTATGTTTTAAGAGATAATAGGAAGACTTCATTTTTATAGAATGTGAGAGATGTTTGTGATAAAACAATGCCCAACTTGTTAGCTTCTGGAGAATTTGAAAGTTATACAAAAGACAACTGCCATTCTAAGTAGTGTTGATCAATATATAGTCTTTCAGCATTTGAAATTTGTAAATTTTTTTCCCTCACCCCACATCTCTACAGATGCTGGACTGAGCATGCCCAGTGATACTTCACTTTCTCCAGCAAGTCAGAACTCTCCATACTGTATGACACCTGTGTCACAAGGCTCTCCGGCTAGTTCTGGGATAGGCAGTCCGATGGCATCTTCAACAATAACCAAAATCCACAGCAAAAGATTTAGAGAGTAAGTTTTAGTCTCATTATCCGAGGTTGAATAGTTTAAGTATCTTGATTGTAGCTCTGAATGCAGTATTGTCATTACATGGTGGGTTGAGCATACGAAACTTCAAAGATACTTAAGTTCTTTCAAATTTTTTTAATACCTAGTTTTATTTAAAGCATTTGGCTTCTGTCAGCTATCAGTGTTCATGTGAAAGTGCTTTATTTTTAAATGAAATCTCTATTTTATTTTTTTTGTTCTGTTTTTTTGGGGTTCTTTTGTTTTGTTTATTATTAACATATAATATATTATTTATTTCAGGGGTACCGGTCTGTGATTCATCAGTCTTACACAGTTCACAGCACTCACCGTAGTACTTTCCCTCCCCAATGTCCATCACCCAGCCACCCCATCCCTCCCACCCCCCTCCACTCCAGCAACCCTCAGTTTGTTTCCTGAGATTAATAAGAGTCTATTATGGTTTGTCACCCTCTCTGGTTTTGTCTTGTTTCATTTTTCCCTCCCTTCCCTATGATCCTCTGTCTTGGTTCTCAAATTCCTCATATCAGTGAGATCATATGAAACTTGTCTTTCTCTGATTGACTTACTTTGCTTATTAGCATAATACCCTCTAGTTCTATCCACGTCGTTGCAAATGGCAAGATTTCATTCCTTTTGATGGCTGCATAATATTCCATTGTATATATATATACCACATCTTCTTTATCCATTCATCTGTCAGTGGACATCTAGGCTCTTTCCATAGTTTGGCTATTGTGGACATTGCTGCTATAAACATTGGGTTGCATGTGCCCCTTTGGATCACTACATTTGTATCTTTGGAGTAAATACCCAGTAGTGCATTTGCTGGGTCGTAGAGTAGCTCTATTTTCAACTTTTTGAGGAACCTCCATACTGTTTTCCAGAGTGGCTGCACCAGCTTGCATTCCCACCAACAGTGTAGGAGGGTTCCCCT